TTGATCATCGTGATTTTGGGTGATGACACCGTTCCTCACATTTAACTGAGATTCTTTAGATATTAGAGTTCACGGTAGGGCAGATTTTCCGGTTTGTGAATAAATTTATTCAACTGGTTGAATGAATAAAAATCATCGTTTGTGGAATAGATCCGTGATCACCCCGTTTGAAATATTCCACAATTACTCAAGCAAGAAGCGTATACGCTAGCTCATCGCGCTCTGGGAGCTGCAATGTAGTACAAACTGTAAGTAGAAGATGTAGGTAAATGCACTCCGAGGAGCGGTGGGTCACGAAATATCTCCGAAGAGACTGAGGAGGCAAAAATTCATGCAAGGATGCCAACGGAGGGCAAGACAACATGCATAGATGGATGGTGGTGTGTCAGATGCGGCCGCAGGCCGCTGTGAGATGCTCCCAGCCCCGAGAGTGCAATAAAAGCAACTCCGGGAAGTGGGAGACGTAGCTCGCACGAGACGTTCCCGACAACCAGAGCGCAACGAAGGCGACTCCGGGCAGGAGACGAAACTCGCGTGGGCAGCCCGCGGCCAGCGCGACGCGAGACTGGGGAGTACCGACACCAGAAAGCGGACAGCCGGACCCCCCAGAAGCGCGTGAGGAGGCGGGTCGGGAGCGCGCAAAAAATCTGTCGGCGCGACGCGAGGTGGTGGGAGCGAGCAAAGCAAAGTGACCTGTGACCTGTGTGACATCAGTGGTTAGTCAGCTCCCCTGCGCTCTTCTCGCTCGCGTATCTTGCGCTACACCGCTCGTGCCTCGCCCCGTAGCTGGCAATATCACACACAAAAATATGTTTATTCCACAAGCACGATTTAATCGTGCTTGTGGAATATTTTTATTTTGTAGAAATAAATGTTCTACCCGAGGATTAAAATTATTCACAAACAGGAAAACCCCCCCTACCGTGAACTCCCCTATTGAACTCCAACCGAGAAAAAAAGGGGGGCAATGTAACTCGACCGGTTGAAGTTGTTTGGTGCAAGTTCAATTCTGCTCCCACTGGTTGAAAGATTCAAGTTTTTCAGCAGAATTTTTGGTGAAAAATGTTGTTTGTTTTTCAGACATTTTTCACTGGAAAAGTAACTGAAAAACTTAAAACATTTTCGCCATTTCTTCAGCCCAAGGTGAAAAATTTGAAAAGAAGTTTGAAAGTGGTGAAAAAAGTTTAAAATTTTCACCACTATTTTCAGTGAAAAATGTCTGAAAAACAACATTTTTCACCAAAAATTCTACTGAAAAACTTGAATCTTTCAACCAGTGTCCTGGTAGTGAACCTGGATGTATACACTTTGAACCGACTCACTCACTCAGTCATATATTGACAAACTCTCTCTCTCTGTCATCTCCTTCATGGCTTGTCCATTCATGCACTCACGCTCAGCCTCATGTGCCTGCACCATCTCGAGCACGTACTCTATATATTCAAGACTTTCTAGCTTCAATGATACAAAGGGCCCAGCGGAAGTTGGAGCAACACATACTCCAACTGAATGAACAAATAAAAGGCAACGCTGTTGCGTTGTAAGTAAGGATTGAGTAAGGAGTTGTGAGCCAGGGAGGGGAAATAAACTTGCCAAAAGAAAAAGACAATCACCAAATGACCCGACCCCGAATCGAACAGGGACCTCTTGCCTAAACTCTCTTGTCTTTCGCGTCACTAAAAGCAAGTGCACTAACCATTGTGCCATTGGGTCCTGATGCATAATTGGAGGGGGGAAAAATCAAAATAGGATGAGTATGTAAGGGAGGAGGAATTAATTACTAATTCAACCCAGCATGCACTGGCAGAACACGGAGACTGGTGGGAATGTAACTTTGGCTCCGAGCATGGACACAAATTAAAGCTCAATCATGATTCCGGTCAAAGAAAAAGGAGGGAGAACATATTTGAGGAAAGGTTTTTCACGGAAAAAAAAATCATGAAATGACCCAACCTCGAATCAAACGAGGACCTCTTGCCTAACTCTCTGGTTTTCCGTTTCACCAAAAGCAAGTGCACTAACCATTGTGCTTTGGGTCATGATTGCATAGTTGCGGGGATAGGATGAGTAGGTGTGGAAGGAGGAAGTGTTGAAACAGGACTCGGAGACCGGTGGAATTTGGTGAAATGTAACTTTGGCTCCGAGCATGGACCTAAATTAAAGCTCAATCTTGACTTGAATACAAAAGATGGAAAAGATATTTGGGAGAAAGTTGACATGAAAAAAGACATGATCAAGAAATGACCCAACCCCGGATCGAACGGGGACCTCTTGCCTGAAACTCTATCACGTAACTGAAAGCAAGTGCACTAACCGTGTGCTATTGGGTCATGATTGCATGCGTGCAGGGTCGATGTAAGTAAAAGACAAAGGATGGGAATTGTTGAGCCACATTTATTGCTGATATTAATTCTGGTTTTAGTGGAATTTGCATGAACGCTAAACGAAAGCCGAGCCTTGGCTAGCTAGCACCATCCAACAGAGTACTATACTCAAGCTCAGCACGAATGGCACTTAAGAGAAGGGTAACAAACATTGCGAGAAAGAAAAAAAACAATCCGGTCGCAGATTCGAAATGACCCAACCCCGAATCGAACGAGGGACCTCTTGCCTAGAATCATTGCAGCACTAACTGAAAGCAAGCACATTAACCATGGTGCCATTGGGTCATGATTGCATGGCTGTAAGGTCAACCTGAGTAGGTAAGGGACTCGGATGAGGAATTGTTGAACCACATTTGTTGCTGATATTAATTCTGGTTTTGCAGGTCCACTCAAGCTTAGCCTTGACTGGTTAGCCATGCGAAAGAGTACTATACTCAAGCTCAGCACAAATGGAAATTGAGAGAAGGATAAAAAATATTGCGAGAAAGAAAAAAAAAGAGGAAATCAGGGAATGACCCAACCCCGAATCGAACAGGGACCTCTTGCCTAAATCCTACGACATTCCTTACAATTCAAAGCAAGCACACTAATCGTTGCGCCATTGGGTCGTGATTGCATGATTGTGAGGATCGATACAGGGAAAAAACAAGGGATGGGGAAGTGTTCAATTTATTGCACATAGTAATTCTGGTTTTAGTGGAACTTGCAGGTCCACTAAAGCTCAGCCTTGACTGGCTGGCGCCATGCGAAATAGTACTGTACTCGACGGTAGCACAAAAGAGAAGGGAATCTAGAAAGAAGGTTGACACGAAAAAAGACATAATCGGCAAAATTCAGATGACCCAACCCCGAATCGAACGAGGACCTCTTGCCTAAGATCACAGAACATTTTGACTAACTGAAGCAAGCACACTAACCGTTGTGCTTTGGGTCATGATTGTGCAGTTGTGAGGATGGGATGAGTAGGTAAGTAAGGGAGGATGAAGTGTTGGAATTAATTACTAATTCAACCCAGCATGCAGGACGCGGTGTGATACGGACTGCGGTTCCGTGAGTTGTCTGACCGGGTGTGGTATAGTCAGGCAAAAGCACGAAATTAGTTCGTCCTCTAGAGGGAAATTTCTCTGTCGCGGAGATTCGTCTGCTACTGTAGTACACGCAATGTTATGTATTTTTAAAAGGTGGTGGTGGTGGTACAGTTCCTTCCGTACGGAATGAACAGTCTCGCTAGGTTCCTTGAGGATTTATTTCCTCGTTGGGGGGCTAGCCTTCCAGGAAAACTTCGATCGGAGGGTTTTCTACACTTGCGCGAAGGGGCAACGCTCCGCAAGATGAACGCCGTTCCGTGTCGAGATGCCTGGGCTATATGGTTCCTCTTCTTATCCCCTTGCCTCGTATAGGTTGGGCAAGCAGTATCTTCAGAACTGTTGAACACAACGCGTACGGGTTATAGCGTAGTCCTTCGTAACCCGGCTTTTTCTCTACGCTGTGGTGGTACGGCCAAGGAGTGTCAATTCCGTGGGCGTGTGTGTGGCGAAGTGGTGAGAATGAATCGTGAAGTGGTTATAATCGAATTGGATAAGCCTTCCGCAACGATGGGGGTGGTACTCCGTGCACGGATCTGCGTTCGAGGCCCAAGCCAACGGTTACACGCTGCTAAGTTGGGCTGCTGGCCGTTTGGAAGTTTCGCCGCGCGTACTACAACCACGCGAGCTATCAACGCCGATGTTTTCTATAATTCCTTCTGGCTCGTTCTATTGAGCTGGAAGTACTACGGACAAGCCTCCTTGATTGAAGCTTTGGCCCAATTTGACCTTGGTTGATCCCACGGAGGGCGGCGCGACCTGAGCGAGTATGTATTTTGACTAGATTCTCACCCCGTATGATCGAGGGGGAGTAGCTTAGGTATGAGCAGTGGGAGGTAATAAGATGCATTCTTCTACGGACGTCCCTGCTTTTATACTAATTTCTTTCCGACCGCCGCGCGCGACCTTGTTCCTCATTCGTCCACGGACCCCTTTCAACACTGCCCTCCTTGCCTCGCGGCGAGGATCTCCATGCTCTCCCGTGCGCTTGAAGGAGATACCTAACCCACGGACCGTAACGTTGCTGCCCGTGCGCCCAATTTCCGTACTCCGTAGCTCGCACCTCCTTCCGTAGCCTTGATATGTACCGCGTGGCGACACTTTCCGTACCCGTGTAGTACCTCTTCCGTGTTCTGCGTATGCATCATGTCGATTTGTTAATTTCGTGAGGTCCGTGGCGCTTTGGGGATTTATTTGGTGGTAGGCCTGGTGGCGTAACTGGTAACGCGCGCACTTGAGTTCCACTTCTCCACGATATTACAATTGCGAGACCCGCGTTCGATTCGAGGTCAGGCCATATACCTTTTTCCCCACAGGAGAGAATCAACCGTGGGTCGACACCTTTTCTTTGACGTCTTTGTAGTGTAGACCCGGTGGCGTAACTGGTAACGCACGCAATTGTAGTCTCTTCACAATATTGCATAATTGCGAGTCCCTCGTTCGATTCGGGGTCGTGTCGTTTTTTTGCTTCCCTTTTCCCACAGGAGAGAATCAACCGTGGGTCGACACCTTTTCGACGTCTTGTAGCGTAGACCTGGTGGCGTAACGGTAAGCGCGCGCATTGTCGGTTCCTCGCAATATTGTACTATACTGCGAGTCCCTCGTTCGAATCGGGGTCAGGTCGTTTTTGCAACCTTTTTCTGTGCGTGCTCCGTAGTGCGTATTTGCCTTTTTCAGCCACGGAGGAGAGCGTATCACAAAGTGATAGCTCACATCTCCTCCCCACTTTTGAATGCCGACCGTCCCCGGTTGGCGCCACGTATAAATATGACCCTATCCGTAGGTCGAGAATCAGAACTTTTTCTGAAGATGGATGCCTCTGCCATTGGTCGCTTCCATTCTACAATTCATCCCCTTCCTGCGGAAAGCCTTGACGTCCCGATTGGCGGCCTGGCGGAGTTCCTTTATCGCAACCTCCGGTTCAAGGTGTTCCTTGTGGCGATTTCCGTGCTGGAGGATCGTTGGGCCACGCGTACGCGTCCTTCACTGACCACGAAGGATCTTCATGAAGTGCGTGTCTGCGTACGTCTAATTGTAGACCACATGGTAGGCGAAGTTGTCCAGATATTCAGGCGATGGTGTTTAACTGTTGCTTCCTAGTATTATGCCGCACGGCTTCGCCAGAATGAGCTGCGGTCCAACTTCAGTCGCCATAACACCCCGCCTCAATCGACGTGGATGTTTTACTTGATCTCCGTACTCCTTTACGCGGTTGGTTTTGACGGAGACGATGCGCCTGACATCCACGGAGTCAGTGTATTCGGCCTAGCGATTTCGCAAGTGGAGTTCTTTTTGAAGGAGTGCGCGGAATCCGTTGCGCTCTTTCGTATCTCCAAGGACCCAATATTCCTTGAGTACGAGGAGTACGACCCGCACCGTACTATCGAGGTGGTGTTTCCTTCTCGGCAGCCCCCACGGAATTACAAACGTATTCCTATCAACGACAACCCCGTGCTTGATTTTTCCGTGAAGGCCACTACCCCCCTCTGGACGGACGCGCAGCGAGTTATCGAAGCCACTTTGCTGGCGCTTTCTCGCGTGGAAGGAGCGCTCGTTGTCGAAACGGATAGAGATGGAAAGGTAATCGGGGTCCAGAGAGAGAGTGTGGAAGGTTTGCTGGCAGACATGGTACAGTCTCCGCCGGCGAGGTCCCATACCGCTGACTGTTTGCAAGGAGGACCTCCAGGCATTATACCCGGAAGCCCTTGCCCTACTTTGTGCACGGATGAAGAAACCTGTGGACGAGAAGCCACGGAATGGAGTATTGTGATGCTGTCCTCTTCGGAGCTGAGATCCATGCGCTCGGATCACTTAACATTTCCCGTATAAAAGGCTCGCCGTAGTCGCATGTATGTCCTCGCGTTATGTCTTTACCCATGCCCCCCCGCGTGCGCCTAAGTGCAGACTTCTACGGAATTGTGGATGCGTGCGAGTTGATTATTGAGCACTCGCTCGCCACGGGCGTGCGGTTTAGCCCAGGACATCCCGAGTGCGAACAGCTGGACGATGTAATGGAGTGCATCGTTCGCCCGTCGATTTATCTGCTGGATTGCGCTCTACGGCCCGCGAATCGTGGCTGGCTGGCGCCGTATGAACTGACCATGCTGGAGTTAATCTTTGTTCATGACGCGCTGGCGAATATAATGGGCATTCTGGCGAGTCTTCCGTTCTTGTTCCGTGCACTAGTCCGTGCTTAGTATAGCTCCCGCAGTTTCATCTGCTCGAAGAAGGCGGCCACTTTCCCAGTGACGAACATATCGGGAACGCGCAGGAAGGGTTTCGTTGCTACGTAGCGTTCCGTGGCGCCTGCCTCCGTGGATTGGATAGGCTTAACGAAATGCACGCAGTTTATCTGCCCGAGTCTTCTACACGGCTCGCTCCTTCGGCGGTTTCGCTTAATCTGAGCCGTGCCATACTGCTGGCACGAGCATGGCACCTTGTTGAACCCGTGGAGGACTTCACGGCCTTTATTACTGGTAGCCCGGAAGATATTGTGCTGGGACTTTAGCGGTCGATTTGTCGGTTAATATGATGTGTTCTCCGCGGATGTTTCCGTAGACGCGTGCTCCGTACGCTTGTCCGCTTGCGCTAAGAGCATAAATACGGGTCGCGTCCCATCATCGATTTTCGCTATTCTTGTGTCCATGGCGCAGACCCCGTCTCCGCCCGATTCTCCACGCAGCGACCTCCTCAGAGTCATTGGGAGCCCTGCAGGGCGTGCCCTCGCAGTGAAAGTGGAGCAAGCCTGCGCACTCATTCGGCCGCTCGAGATTAGCGACACGGAATACGCCCTTGGCTCGAACTGGCGTCCACCGATCCCCATTTCCAACATACTGCACCAGGTTCTCCGCCCCGCCGTATTTGTCCTTCAGCAAGCGCTGGATCCTTCCTTCCATCGCACGAGATATGGCAGCTTTCAATTTCCGTACACCACGACCCGTGTCGTCCAGGCTACCCTGCGGAAAATGATGGAGCTAGTGGTATGCTCATCGTCTCCTCCGTGCGGAAGTCGAGCCTAATTCTGCCCCCCTTTTTTGCGAACTCTTTTAGCACCTGATTTCGCTCACGGACCCCGAATATCCATCCTATGTTGCCCTGTGGGATGGCATCTCCGCGGTGCATCTGATCCCGGAAGAACCACCGGTGTCAGATTTATCGATGGGCCAGTTCGAAATCCTCGATCATATGGTCGAAATTTATGGTTTCGAAGGGGAAAATAGCGAAGGCGGTGCGCATATGAGCGCTGCGCTCGAACATTTAAAACGCGTGGCCACCTGCTGGGCCGCGCTGTTGGGTACGCGTGGTGAATACCCCGAGTTCGAACGCTCCGGGCGCATGATGCGCAGACCGACCAATACCGGCTGGGTCGATCCCTCCTCGTCGTAATCATCGTTATGTCGCGCATCGTAGTAATTTGAAATATTCGTTGCGCTCTTCCGGCGAACCGAACCAGATTGATCGCTTCGTGAGCCGGCCCACCCGTGCACCACTTAAGGAGCCGTGGATTTGATAGATGGATCTGCGTTTTCCCCCCCTAAGCCATGGCGTCGATAACTCGAGCGTCTTTCGAGCTCCCCTCTTGGCTCAGAGACCTCGACGCTCATCTGCTAGCATATGACAACATCTCCGTAGGCCAGCGGCTTCGTTCGAACTGCGCGAGAGTCGAAATCCCCTCCTGGAAGCACGCCGATGGCTTTTACCGCCCGCGCCACTCCATGAAAGACCTACTTCGCTACTTCATCCGTGCCCAGATCTTCTTTGTCCAGCTCGCTGTCGATCCGGAATTTCGCCTTTCCGTGCCGCTACCTGCGCTCTCCGTGGATGATCGTGCAGCAGTCCGTACGGCGCTCGGTCGCGTCCTCGAGCAACTGGTACGATTGCCTCCGTACTCCAGCCCGTGGCCTAGTGCTGATATTCGAACCTCCCCGTAGAGGGTAATTTATGCTTCGCGGCCTCATTTTGCCAGGCTTGCCCGTGCTCACGGCGCTCGTGTTCATCCCGACGAATTGCTCGTACCCGGGGAAAGCTCGAACATGTTTCGCATCCTGCGGATTCTTCTTGCTGAATACGGGTTCGAGCTCGACGAGGAGGGCCAGCACGGAGGTTTACAGGTCCCGGTCCTGCGCGCGTTCGAGGCCTTCGATACCACAGCCAGCTATATGCGAGCGGCCACCGCGCAGCTCAAGGAATTTCCCGAGTACAACATGGACGGTTCCAGCACGTTCACCGCCTCTGGCAACGACGCCGAGCCTACGGAGTAGAGTTTATCGTTGAAATCTTCTGATGTATAACCGATTGGTGTGACTCCTTTGCGTACGGCAGTTTGCTGCCATATAAATCCGTGTCTTTGTGCTCGCTTGTTTCCCCCATACCCTCTTCTCTGCTTTGCCCAAGAAATGGCACTCCGGTTCGCCCTGTTGCGTGATTATCAGCGCGGCGCGCCCGCCTCCTTCCGTACACGCTCGCAATTCGAGGTCTTCTTCATAGATCTTGATACGGAAGAGGAGCTCGTGCGCTATTTGCGCCGTCCTGAAGTCACCAACTTCTCGCAGCAAATTCTCGTCCCCCTTCGTGACCAGGTCATGCTCGTTCGAGATCGATTCCGTGGCTCGCCCCCCGCGGCTCGCGATTCCCCGTGGATCCGCCACCAGACTTCGGTGTACATGCGTTATCTTGTGAGTCGTTATTCCATGGCAGTGCTCCCGATGAACTCTTCCTGACAATCCGTAGGCGTACATTCGCCGCGCTATTGTTCCAGATGTACACGGCATCGTCGGAAAACGCGTGCCGACCCCGTCGGTGGCGAGCCTTTTGTACATGATGCGCCTTATTCGTCGCTTCGGCTTCGCGGGAGACGATATCGCCACTATTGCTGAGTGCGCCGAAGACGATCTTTTAATCGTATTCAATCATGCGCACGAAACGATTTTCGCCATGGCCGCCCGTCTAGCTGACGTCCCCCCTCAATATGTCGCCACGCTTTCCGAAATTCAGATGGCCCCCCCTGGCGGGGTTCTTTCTTCATCGCCTCTGCTTTCCGTACGCGTCACGAACCTCGACCATGAACCGGACACAGTTTCCTTGTCCGTTGATCCCGTTCCCTGCTCCACGGAGGGTGAACCCGTTGCGTACTTGTAGCGTAGACAGCCGCCTGTACGGAGTTCCCAAAATAGGCAGTTGTTATTGCCGGTTCGTGATGCCGGAATCCTTAAGCGATATTCACGGATTCTTTTTGCCTCTGTCGTCCCCTTCCCCTTTAAAAGAGCGTGGAACCGCCGCTGTTTGTCCAACCACTCCTTCCCGTCATGGACCTTTCTGCTATTATCGAAGGCGACGAGAATTCTGTCGAACCCCGCACCACGGAGGAATTGACTCGTATCCCCGAAGCCCTGCAACTCCTCCTAGCTCCGTACCGTTCTCGCCTTCCCGATAGTCGTTTATACGGAGAAGACCCCCACGGCGTCCTTCGATACTTCGAGGAAGTTGTCGGTCCCTACGCGCAACTTATTGACAAGGCTTTCCCTACTCGCGCGCTCGCGAAGCACCAACTCCGTGCAGAGTCTATTGAGTTTCTGACTCCTCATGTCGGCGAGCTGCTTCGTTTCCTGGTGCGCATCGCTCGCA